CTGCTCTCCAGCTGAACATGAGAGCTTCGGCTTGCATGTGATATGTGGGGGGTTAATCCCTGTAGGATTACAGGGATTAATCCCTGGTTAGCTCCTTCAGAGGTGTGTGAATGTTCAACAATTGTCTAGTGCCGCGCCTGTGGCTAGTTCATGGTGTTCTATGTACTGATCTCTTATTATATATCCATATTATATAGCTCCTAGGTGGGCCACTGCAGGGTGGGCCACTGCAGGGTGGACCACTGCAGGGTGGGCCACTGCAGGGCGGGCTACTGCAGGGTGGGCCACTGCAGGGTGGGCCACTGCAGGGCGGGCTACTGCAGGGTGGGCCACTGCAGGGCGGGCTACTGCAGGGTGGGCCACTGCAGGGTGGGCCACTGCAGGGTGGGCCACTGCAGGGTGGGCCACTGCAGGGTGGGCCACTGCAGGGTGGGCCACTGCATGGTGGGCCACTGCAGGGTGGGCCACTGCAGGGTGGGCCACTGCAGGGTGGGCCACTCCTGGAAGCAGGGAAGTAATAGGCGATGAAGAAGGAAGTAACCGAGAGAGGAAATAATATAGAGGAAGTAATGGTTCGGAGGGACGGACAGAATGTGTAATAAATGCACGAGAAAGAGGAGGAAGAGGAAGAAGGAGAGAGAATGAGGACGAAGGAAGAGGAGAGGGACGAGGAAGGAGGAGGATGAATAAGAGGAGGAAGGAGGGAGAGGAAGAGAAGGAGGAACGAGGAAGGGGAGAAAAAGAGAGAGAGAGAGAGACTAAGGACTAGAAGAACGCACGCGAGTGAACTGAGGCACGCAAGTCCCTCTTCAGAAATCTCGCTCAGCCATTCGCTGGGCGCAATAACGCGTGGGAGACCTAACACACACACACACACACACACACACACACACACACACACACACACACACACACACACACACACACACACACACACACACTCTGAGTCGAGGCCTCGTGGCTGAGTGGACAGCACTCGGGGGATCGTATTCCTAGTGGCCCGACTACGATTCCCGGCGAAAGCAGAAACAAATGGGTAGAGTTTCTTTCACCCTGATGCTCCTGTTCACCTAGCAGTAAAATAGATCCCTGTAAGTTAGACAGCTGCTACGGGCTGCTTCCTGGGGATATGTGTGTGTGTGTATGTTAGAAATAAATATATGCAGTAGACATAATACAGGGTAAAATAAATTGGTTAGACAGGCGGGGTCCAAGAGCTAATAGCTCGATTCTGCAGGCACAAATAGTATCTCGGGCACAGAAATATTAACATCCTCCACATGTGCCACATGTGGAACCAGAAATGACACCTGCACGCCTGTACACCTGTCAAAACCCGTGTAGCATGTGCCAGTGTTGTACCCGAGTAGCATGTGCCAGTGTTGTACCCGTGTAGCATGTGCCAGTGTTGTACCCGAGTAGCATGTGCCAGTGTTGTACCCGTGTAGCATGTGCCAGTGTTGTACCCGTGTAGCATGTGCCAGTGTTGTACCCGTGTAGCATGTGCCAGTGTTGTACCCGTGTAGCATGTGCCAGTGTTGTACCCGTGTAGCATGTGCCAGTGTTGTACCCGTGTAGCATGTGCCAGTGTTGTACCCGTGTAGCATGTGCCAGTGTTGTGCCCGTGTAGCATGTGCCAGTGTTGTACCCGTGTAGCATGTGCCAGTGTTGTACCCGTGTAGCATGTGCCAGTGTTGTGCCCGTGTAGCATGTGCCAGTGTAGCATGTACCCGTGTAGCATGTGCCACCCGTGTAGCATGTGCCAGTGTTGTACCCGTGTAGCATGTGCCAGTGTTTGCCCGTGTAGCATGTGCCAGTGTTGTGCCCGTGTAGCATGTGCCAGTGTTGTGCCCGTGTAGCATGTGCCAGTGTTGTACCCGTGTAGCATGTGCCAGTGTTGTACCCGTGTAGCATGTGCCAGTGTTGTACCCGTGTTGCATGTGCCAGTGTTGTGCCCGTGTAGCATGTGCCAGTGTTGTGCCCGTGTAGCATGTGCCAGTGTTGGTGCCCGTTGTAGCATGTGCCAGTGTTGTGCCCGTGTAGCATGTGCCAGTGTTGTACCCGTGTAGCATGTGCCAGTGTTGTACCCGTGTAGCATGTGCCAGTGTTGTACCCGTGTAGCATGTGTACCCGTGTAGCAGTGTGTTGTACCCGTGTAGCATGTGCCAGTGTTGTACCCGTGTAGCATGTGCCAGTGTTGTACCCGTGTAGCATGTGCCAGTGTTGTACCCGTGTAGCATGTGCCAGTGTTGTACCCGTGTAGCATGTGCCAGTGTTGTACCCGTGTAGCATGTGCCAGTGTTGTACCCGTGTAGCATGTGCCAGTGTTGTACCCGTGTAGCATGTGCCAGTGTTGTACCCGTGTAGCAGCCAGTGTTGTACCCGTGTAGCATGTGCCAGTGTTGTACCCGTGTAGCATGTGCCAGTGTTGTACCCGTGTAGCATGTGCCAGTGTTGTACCCGTGTAGCATGTGCCAGTGTTGTACCCGTGTAGCATGTGCCAGTGTTGTACCCGTGTAGCATGTGCCAGTGTTGTACCCGTGTAGCATGTGCCAGTGTTGTACCCGTGTAGCATGTGCCAGTGTTGTACCCGTGTAGCATGTGCCAGTGTTGTACCCGTGTAGCATGTGCCAGTGTTGTACCCGTGTAGCATGTGCCAGTGTTGTACCCGTGTAGCATGTGCCAGTGTTGTACCCGTGTAGCATGTGCCATGTTGTACCCCATGTGCCAGTTGTACCCGTGTAGCATGTGCCAGTGTTGTACCCGTGTAGCATGTGCCAGTGTTGTACCCGTGTAGCATGTGCCGTGTATGTGCCAGTGTGTACCCGTGTAGCATGTGCCAGTGTTGTACCCGTGTAGCATGTGCCAGTGTTGTACCCGTGTAGCATGTGCCAGTGTTGTACCCGTGTAGCATGTGCCAGTGTTGTACCCGTGTAGCATGTGCCAGTGTTGTACCCGTGTAGCATGTGCCAGTGTTGTACCCGTGTAGCATGTGCCAGTGTTGTACCCGTGTAGCATGTGCCAGTGTTGTACCCGTGTAGCATGTGCCAGTGTTGTACCCGTGTAGCATGTGCCAGTGTTGTACCCGTGTAGCATGTGCCAGTGTTGTACCCGTGTATCATGTGCCAGTGTTGTACCCGTGTAGCATGTGCCAGTGTTGTACCCGTGTAGCATGTGCCAGTGTTGTACCCGTGTAGCATGTGCCAGTGTTGTGAATGCCACACACCGGAATATATATAAAAGAACGAATATATAATAAAGAACAGAGAACCACGAGAGAGAACCTGACAGGACCAGACAGAACCTGACAGGACCTGACAGGACCAGACAGAACCTGACAGGACCAGACAGGTAATAGTAATAGCTTGCCCGAAACGCTCTGCGTACTAGTGGCTTTAGGTATTGTATGTACTACCTCTATCTTTATATCTAACAGAATGTTTGTACTGTAACGCTGCAGCTATGTATGTACTGTTCCTAAATAAATTATTATTATTATTATTTTTATTATAATATTGACCACCACCATGCACAGCCTCCTCTGGCAATACTGACCAGCACACTATCCCAGACAATATTGACCTCCTCATCCACATAGGCGTTGAGACAGACAATTACTTATGAACGACAAGTTCCTTTGATCTGGACTTTACGTGGACCCCATCCAGTCTTGGGAGACGTCATGAAGGAGTTCTTAGGGGAGGTCCTGGAATAGGTCAGGACATCTGAGAAATATTGCCAGGAACATCATTTTAAAATGACCAGCACAAAGGACTCAATACCAGTAGAGTACACTGGGGTAGAGGGGAAGGAATGGTTCCCCAAGAACTACGGGGAGGTAATTAGGGTTAATTACCAGGATAAAGCACTGAACCAGTACGTCTATATAACACCAGAAAGGGACATGAGGATAAGGATATATGACAGGGGCGCGCAGAGAAAGGAATAGTGCTCACCAACCACTTGTGGACGGTCGGGGATTGAACGCCGACCTGCAAGAAGCTAGACCGTCGCTCTACCGTTCCGTACAAGAAGTTGGGCAGCTCTATGCTCAACCACTTGGTTAGAGGGGGGGCGGGGGTGACGTACGATGGGGAGAATGATCGTATCTACGGCAAAAATTTGTTGCTCAATAAAGAAATAAAAATGACCAAGAGGCAAAGGGAAGGAAGATATGAACGTGTTAGTGTGTGAGAGCAGCGAAGCAGTGTGTTGAGTTCTACGAATAGAGCTGGTAAGAAGGAGAGACAGTGAGTGCAATGCCTCTACGTAGAGATTCAATAGATTCAAAAGAGAGATTCAAGAGAGATTCAAGAGAGATTCAAGAGAGATTCAAGAGATTCAAGAGATTCAAGAGATTCAAGAGATTCAAGAGATTCAAGAGATTCAAGAGATTCAAGAGATTCAAGAGAGAGAGAGAGAGAGAGAGAGAGAGAGAGAGAGAGAGAGAGAGAGAGAGAGAGAGAGAGAGAGAGAGAGAGAGAGAGAGAGAGAGAGAGAGAGTAGTATCTTTACACAGGCAATACAAAGGGAGGCAGCACCTCTATAAAGAGACAATGAGAGGGGGCAATACCTCTATTCAGAGTGAGAGAAATCAGTGTCTCTAAATTTATTTTATTTATTTATTTACATATACAAGAGTTCTTACACTCTTGTACAGCCACCAGCACGCGCAGCGTTTCGGACACGTCCTCAAATCTTAATTTTCCTCGGAATACGACCCGCCAAATCGTTTAACAACCAGGTACCCATTTACCGCTGGGGGAACAGAGGCTACAGTTAAGGATTGGCGCCCAATAAATCCTCCCCAGCCAGGATACGAACCTAGGCCAAAGCGCTCGCGAAGCGGCGTGCGAGTATTTTACCACTGCGCCACGGAGACTGTCAATACTTAGAGGCAGTAAGAGAGGGCAGTACCTCTATATAGAAGCAGTAAGAGAGGGCAGTATCTCTATATTGTCAGTGAGATGAGACAGTACCTCAATATAGAGACAGTGAGAGAGAACAGTATCTGGACAGAGAGAGACAGACAGTGAAAGAGAGGACAGTACCCGGACACAGAGAGACAGCAGGGAGTAGAGGCAGTAAGACAGAGATGTGGTAAGGCTGGTCTTTAAATAGCCCATAACTCTTACTCTTCACACCTGGCGGGCCTCATCAAGAGGGCTGGCGGGCAGGTATATACGCCGCTATACAGGTGAACTCTAACTATACTCCAATGTTATGCTTCAACATCTTATACATAAATGAAGACTTTATAATAACTCCCCCCCCCCCCCTTGGGCCATTAATCAAGATTTACTCTCGTAAACACTTAATAAACATCAATTCCTTTAATAAATTACTTGTCTAAAGGTAAAAAATAATTTGGAAGAACCGAGACACTCGTTACACAGTCTCAGGGGCGAGTGTGTCAAGACACTCCAGGAGTGTGTAAGTGTGGAGTGTGACGACACTGACACACTGTGTGAGGAAAGAGAATGCCAAGACACTCTAAGACTGTACAAGAACGCCACAACAGCTAAAGGAACGCTCGAAATATTAAAGAATATCCTCAGCTGCTGCTGTTGACCAGATCACAAACTAGAAGGTGAAGGGATGACGACGTTTCGGTCCGTCCTGGACCATTCTCAAGTCGATTGTCGACTTGAGAATGGTCCAGGACGGATCGAAACGTCGTCGTCCCTTCACCTTCTAGTGTGTGGTCTGGTCAACCTACTTCAGCCACGTTATTGTGACTCATCGCCTGCATAGCTCCTGTTGTCCCAGAGACATTCTGTGCTGTAATTACACCATCAATACCATCACACTCTCGAAAGGACAAATCCACAAGGGCCGTGACGAGGATTCGAACCTGCGTCCGGGAGCATCCCAGACACTGCCTTAATCGACTGAGCTACGACAGGTTGAAAGGGTTGAAACCGAAGGTCCACTGAACTTACTGGATCCCGTGGCCTCTCCGAGGCACAAACCAGGCTTTTACCAGGATTTGTTCATTTGATGCATCACGTTAGTGTGATCTCTGTGTGTGTCATCACACTCTCCTAATTATTCCCATTTAACTCTTTAACAACTGTACTACTCAATAATGCGCTCTGTATCCTCCAGTTACTACAAAACTGTACTTGTTTGGTTCCCGCGGGAGTGTCTTAATACTGCACACTGCTTTTACACGGTCCATAAACCTTTACCGTTAAGCGATATTTAGTAAAATTTAACTATCTTCAGCCTGCTGGCCGCCAGCCTTGAGCAGCTCGAGGGAGTCTTCATTACATAAGGCGTGGAATAAGCCCAGTCTTGGAAGTCTTGGGTCTTATCAAGTCTACGGCTCTTAAATATATGCAAATGTTCATTGTATTTATTTTCAATATTACGCGCCAGGAAATCTTTGGAAGAGAAGGAAGAGGAGAGGAGAAGTTTCAAGAGAAAGATCCGGCATGACTATCCAGCAGGTGGAAGTGATGCTGGGATTGGACACCAGGAGGGATAGGAGAGGGCGGAGTGAAGGGACGTACGCTGCCCAACCACCTCGGCTACTGGCAGTCTTCACCTGGCAATAATTGGCGATTGTTACAATTTTCCTGTTGGTAATTGATGGCCGTGAACAATTTCCTGTTTATAACTCGTGGATTTATACGCTCTGGTTCTGACTTAGTTGGTTACCTATGCATGACTAAGCGCAGAGAATGATAACAGATGTTAATCACACCAGATATCTGCTGGACAATATCAAACAACACCTGAAAACGAGACAAAGCTGAGTGGCATGATAGTGCGGATCTTGAGCCAAGATATCAATGGATAAATGTTTCGAAAATAGGCAAATGGGATATTAAGATTCAGGACAAGAAACATTAGAAATAGTAATGTTGTTTGTCATCTTCTTCTTGTCCCTGTTAGGACGACATTAGACGATGCAGTAAAGGTTTAATCAGTGTATTAAAGAATGGTAATAAATCCTAAAAAATTAAAAATATGTTTTTATCTTAAGATAATGTATGTTATTATTATCAGCTTTACGAAGATCTTACAGTCTCTCACATTCCTTCTCTGTGCTACCTCAAACCCGGAGTCCTGCTCGGCTGTCTTCCTTAACTCACCCTCTATGTCATGTTATTTACCGGTGGCGTCATGACGTATTGTTAGTCTGTCTTGGCTCCAAAATATATTAAGGAAACATTTATCAACACGAATAAAAAAAGTTGTCATCCATAATTTATTGCTCACTATTTCGGTCTTCTATTTTATCTCTGTCTCTATCTGACTGTCTCTCTCTCTCTCTCTCTCTCTCTCTCTCTCTCTCTCTCTCTCTCTCTCTCTCTCTCTCTCTCTCTCTCTCTCCTCTCTCTCTCTCTCCCTAAGATCTGCTTAACATCATGTCAGTTTTCACCTCCTGCGTCATCTTAGATTCCTCTGACACTCAACACACATTTCTTTTGTGTAGAGCAGGTTAGCTACACCCGCAGAAGCATTACAAGCAAGACATGAGGTAGAGGGAGGCTGGTAAATGTATTGATCTGTTGTTGTTGTTAAAAAGATTCGCTACCTGGTACAAAGTTCCAAGTAGCACGGGCTATGGTGAGCCCGTATGAGGTTGTGTATTGATCTATTACACAATATATTATTGTGTATTGATCTGGATAGAGAAATGTGCGGCGGTGTAAAACTAACTTTTAGACGTAATAAGCGCAATTCTCTTTCAGACGAAATAAGCGCATTTTCTCATTAGGATATAATAAGCGCATTTCTCTTTTAGATGTAATAATTAAAACGCATTGATATCTTTTAGACGTATTAAGCGCATAATCACCAGCCTACAACCCTCCCCAATGTTTATTTTATCCAACACCAGTGAAGACTTCCTCAGGACGTGCAGGTCACGTCAAGAGAGAGACAAAGGGATACTTCAGCAGCCGGAGCAGTCCTCCCTAACCAGCAACATTACCATACAAGACGTCGTCCCCCACACACCGCCACCACGCCTCAGATGCATATTCAATATTCCTTCACGAAATCCACAGATCTTTGACCTCAAAATGATTGGATAACCGGGTGGGTAATCTCCTACAACTGCCTGGGAATCGTGAAGGTGGTGGTCATGTTTCTATGGCACATAGTCGAGGGTCCGAAGCACAGTCTAATTTGGCCACAGTGACCAGCCGCTGATGCATACAGAAAGATGTAAACACAGATGTTTGGGTGTCTTGGGGCGTTCTTGGTCTTACTAAGCTTCTTAGTATTGTGTTTGTGAGATTGTGTTGCACGGATATACTCGCTTGTTTCAGATCTTCAGATCTTCTTCAGATCTTGGACCCGTCATTCCGGGTGTCGATCGTCAAATACAGTGACTCACGATCTACATGTCGGCTATTATATCTACTTTTGAAAATATGTAAAGAATTTTGCTTTTACTATATATCCTTTCCTAATTCATTTCATATGCACTCCTGTGCTTAAACCGTATTATCGTACATCTGTGTGGTTGACGTGTAATAGGTGTACCTGTGTCCCTTCGTCCTGCAATAACTATTGTAAATATTTCCTCATTTTCCAGCCTATCAATTCCTCTAAGAATTTTATGTTTCTCAAAATGGCTCCTCTCTTTCCCTTCTGCTTCTAGCGTTACGTTCTTGCCTCGTAGCCCACCCCACGAAGTCCTGGGGTCACCCACGTAGCTACTACACGTGTTCCAGCTTGCTCATGTACTTCTCAAGACGCTGACATCAATGACACATAAATTGCACAGTGTTCTGAACATCTCATTACAAAACGTTTCTGAAGGCTATTTTGACATTCTTCGGTCGATCCTCTGGAAAGATGCGCGCTCTATTTCATTATGATGAGCTACGAGCCTCTAGTCTCACCAACATTTACCACCATTGATTTCCAATAGCCATTTCTGAGACCAACCCTGTAGGCTGTCTCGGTCATCCTGGAGTATTCTGCAGACTTTGTCTCTCTTGACTCTCATTAATTTTCAGGAATCAGGACATGTTTCTAGGACAGATTCTTGACACCCTGCACAAATCTGATCCCTCCCTCCCTCACTGTGTGATCTGTTTCATGTTTGTTAGGTACTCTCTCAACCTGTTCCGTGCTCCGTCGGTTATATCTGGTTTTCAGGTTTATATAATTGTCTCGTATACAGTGACTGTGCAGCCACGTCCAACAGCTTGGTTGACCAGACGACCAACTGGCAGGCCTGGTCGAAGACCGGGCCGTGGCGCCGTTGATCCCCGGAACCTACACAAGGTAGGCATTATTAACAGTGTTGCAAGATGTGGTCTGCCAGTCCTTCTCTTCACCTTGCTCCCTCGGTGAACTTATCGTGGCACTACGGAACCTTCGCCAGCAGCGACACCTTTTCATGAATGCCGAGTTGGTGGATGTGTGTACTCACCTAGACGGAGCAGCGAGGTCGAGCATCAGCTCTTGCGCCCCATGCCTTCCGACCATCAGTAAATCAAAACACTGATCTTTTTGACTCGTCCATAATATCATATTTATATTCAGAACTGTGTACTGAATTAGCATCAATAACTTTCTCTCTAATTTGTTCCATGAGTAAACGACTCACACGTGGAAGAAGTTCCTTCTAAGAGAGAGAGAGAGAGAGAGAGAGAGAGAGAGAGAGAGAGAGAGAGAGAGAGAGAGAGAGAGGAGAGAGAGAGAGAGAGAGAGAGAGAGAGAGAGAGAGAGAGAGAGAGAGAGAGAGAGAAAGAGAGAGAGAGAGAGAGAGAGAGAGAGAGAGAGAGAGAGAGAGAGAGAGAGAGAGAGAGAGAGAGAGAGAGAGAGAGAGAGAGAGAGAGAGAGAGAGAGAGAGAGAGAGAGAGAGAGAGACAGAGAGAGAGACGCCAAGTCCTCTCACCTTGCACTCAGTCATCTTTAGCTCTAAGAGAGAGAGACCAGCTCTAAGGACCAGCTTTCGCCTCACATTACAAATCTAACTCCATTATGCCGCCCGCCGCCTTGGGTATTAAAGTGGGAAGGCTTCCGCGATGAGTCAATCTATCCCTCCCCGTCTTGGGTCGATCCCAGGAACTATCCAGGCGGACGCGACAAATGAATGAGACCAACAGCGTAGAGATCTATATTACTATTCAGACGCTAATCTGTCCACTGGCCATTAACTATGTGCCGTATAGGGTTTAAATGTAGTACATTTAATATACGTGATTATATATTCCTTTTATATAAGCGATGAAACTGTAGAGAATCAGGAAATGTTAAAAGTCGAGTGATATTACGAAACATTAACACAGTGTATCGTCACACAGCAAGATCTTGACGATAATATAGCTCGCTTATGTGGTGTCAGTGATTGATCAAGAAGGCCCTTCACCTCCTTGCAGCGACGCTCAGTGCTCGGCGGCTTTCTCTGTCGCGCCAAGAATCGACGGCCTATCAATACAATAATATCAATCCTTTATGGGGGCTTTTAGTGTAACAAGAGCCCCAGGTGGGCGCCTTGGGGGCGGTTCTCACGCTGGTACAGTCGCTGTTGTCGTCCTCCGTACACGAGGTCGAAGGTGGCTCCATCGCTGACACGGTGACGAAACTGTCATCTGGTGGGCGTCGCTGAAGCTGTCATCTGGTGAGCTCATGCTGACGCTGCTATCATCTGCTGGCTGCTGCTGAGGCATTACAACATAGCGCAAACAAGGCAAGCAGAAAGCATAATTAACTTGTTATCCATCACTGGAGTATTGAATCAACTGAAGCAGCCTTTTATTCAGAAGGTGACCGGGCTAAACGGGCTGGGTGGCCAAGCTGAACGACCCGGGTGGCCGGGCTGAACGAGCCGGGTGGCCGGGCTGAACGGGCTGGGTGGCCAAGCTGAACGACCCGGGTGGCCGGGCTGAACGAGCCGGGTGGCCGGGCTGAACGACCCGGGTGGCCGGGCTGAACGAGCCGGGTGGCCGGGCTAAACGAGCCGGGTGGCCGGCGACGCCACTCTCGCAGTAAGACATAAAACTCTCCTCAGTATCCTCTTAAAGGAGTCTCTTGACGATACAAGAGACCAATAAATCCTCCTATCTGGGACTCGGGGTAGGAACGTGCAATATTATGGAAATCTTCTCTAATGCCTTAATATACTTTTCCTTGCGATGACCGGAGCTGAGACAGAGAGGTGCCGAAGATAAAAGCTAGGCTAATTACCAGGAGAAACACTAAGCTAATTTGACTATATAACACTTGTGAGGAGGGTGTGAGGCATGTCAAGACCAAGAAAGTATGACATGACAAAGTACGACATGACATGTCTTGGCTGAGACATGTATGACATGACATGTAAGGGCATAGTGAAGATCAAATCTTCCCTGATCTTCCTCGAGGCGGCAGTCTTCCTGGTGGACCATCTTACAGTTTTCCCCAGAAAATGACGGACATAAATTTAACAATAAAAGTAACTTTGTAGACCCCGTCCATCTGCCCTGTAAACACTCTAACGACTCGTCTTATTAAAGAATCTTGTCAAACACGTAGACCTCTGCTGTGTCACGAGACGGTAATGTGTCGTGACACAGACGTGGCCAAAGTTGTGGCTGACAAGCATTGGTCAACAGATCCTTTCAAGACGTGACCAGGATGGTTAATCCATGCAAATAAGTCGTAACTAACTAGACTACGGCCGTACGCAATCACCCTAACATGGCTGCGGACTGGCCAGGCTAAGCTGACGATCATTTAGTCCCGCTAAGTGTGGGACTAAATGATCTTAGTCAAGACTTACTACTTCACTGACGAAGCTTGCCACCAGCAGAAGTTGTTGACCGATCTTTCGAATACATTATTCCTTATAAAATATATGTTTTTCACTTAAGAATATAATAGAGTCGAATAGTATAATAAGTCGAATTTTATCATTATATAATAGTCATATTGATGTATAGATTTAGTGATAATGATCGTATTATGGGTGGCTTTAGGAAGATTCAGATCAAAGCCTCACTCCATATCATTCCTCCCTACCTACCTTACCTATCACTCCTCCACACTCAGCATACCCCTACCCCTCATCACTCTCCTCCCTCTCAACTCATTCCCCCCCTCCCCTCACTCCACAGGATTCTCGCTGCCCATAATTCTAACCTCACAGTATTCACACCTCACTCCCCTGCAGTCCAATCTCAGTTTACAGCACATCCTCTCACCTCCCAGCACCGCTCTCATTCTACACCAGCCACCTCACTCCACACTACTTAGCATTCCCCCTCTCCCCTCAATGGTCTCTTTTTTTTTTTATTTACAACAGACAACACAAATGTTTACCATTAATTTCCTCCCTAACTCATTTGTTTTTAACTTTTGTTCCAGTTGACAGTCTAACTTACGCCTTTTGCCCCCTGACATTCGCACACACCTTTTCTCACTTTCACTGTTCACCTCTTTTCGTCTCTTCTCTGCTCTCTTCTACCTTTCATCACCGTTCATTCCTGCCCTCTTTCCTTCCCTGCTTTCTCCACAACCACCACAACAATCAGTATATCTAGTCATTATCTTCTAACAATCATTACTTCTAGGCATTAGATATAACATGTTTGCCAAATCATAATTGTAATTTCTTAATAGAGCTTGATAGCAACTGTGGGCGACGAGAGCTCTACTTCCAGCTGTGGGCGATGGAAATATTAAGGCAAGTGTAAACTTGTAGCTATGCGTCTCACAATAGACTCTTGGGTCACAAGTGGAACCTCTCCAGGTCCGAAGCTTCCAATTTTGATCAAGTATTGGATATAGGAAGCCGATATGCTCCCATCAACAATATTTCTATTTTTTTTAGCAAAACAGGAGGTGTACACACACACACACACACACACACACACACACACACACACACACACACACACAGGACAGAAAGATCTAGGAGTTGATATCACACCAAACCTGTCTCCTGAAGCCCACATCAAAAGAATATCATCTGCGGCATATGCGAGGCTGGCTAACATCAGAATTGCCTTCAGGAACCTATATAAGGAATCATTCAGAACCTTGTATACCATATATGTAAGACCAATCCTGGAGCATGCGGTCCCAGCATGGAGTCCGTACCTTGTCAAGCACAAGACGAAGCTGGAAAAAGTTCAGAGATATGCCACTTGGCTAGTCCCAGAACTAAGAGGCATGAGTTACGAAGAAAGGCTGCGGGAAATGCACTTCACAACACTGGAAATCAGAAGAGTAAGGGGAGACATGATCATAACTTCCAAAATTCTCAGAGGAATTGACAGGGTAGATAAAGATAAACTATTAAACACTGGTGGTACCCGAACAAAGGGACACAGGTGGAAACTGAGTACCCAAATGAGCCACAGAGACGTTAGAAAGAACTTTTTCAGTGTCAGAGTAGTTAACAGATGGAATGCATTAGGCAGTGATGTGATGGAGGCTGACTCCATACACAGTTTCAAATGTAGATATGAAAGAGCCCAGTAGGCTCAGGAACCTGTACATCAGTAGATTGATGGTTGAGAGGCAGGACTAGAGAGCCAGAGCTCAACCCTCACAAGCACAACTAGGTGAGTACACACACACACGCACACCTCAGGGGGACTCGCGGCTGAGTGGACAGCGCTCGGGGGTCGTAGTCCTAAAGAACAGAGTTCGATTCCCGGCCGAGGCAGAAACAAATGGGAAGTTTCTTTCACCCTGATGCTCCCTGTTCACCTAGCAGTAAATAGGTACCTGGGAGCTAGAGAGCTGCTACGGGCTGCTTCCTAGGAGTGTGTGTTAAAAAAAAATAGTTAGTAGTTAGTAACAGTTGATTGATTGACAGTTGAGAGGCGGGCCGAAAGAACAGAGCTCAACCCCCGCAAGCACAACTAGGTGAATACAACTAGGTGGATACACATCTTTCTCTCTCTCTACACACATCCAAAGGTCACTCCCACCCACACGCCCTCCCGCCCACACCAAAGGCTCTCCGCCCCTCTACAACCATTGCAAATCAATACAGAATTCAGGCAAGAGACCCGAGCCCCAGGTCCCATGGCCGAGGCCACGCGGAGAGTTTAAATCCTTGGGCCATCTTCAGCATCCCGTGGCCATCTCCAGCATCCCGTGGCCATCTTTAGCATCCCGTGGCCATCTTCAGCATCCCGTGGCCATCTCCAGCATCCCGTAGCCATCTCCAGCATCCCGTGGCCATCTTTAGCATCCCGTGGCCATCTCCAGCATCCCGTGGCCATCTTTAGCATCCCGTGGCCATCTCCAGCATCCCGTGGCCATCTCCAGCATCCTGTGACCATCTCCAGCATCCCGTGACCATCTCCAGCATCCCCGGATTCTCCAACACCTCAGGGCCAACTTAATCAGCCTTGTCTTGTACTCGCCTCGTTCTGCATAGTCAGCAATGTCTCTCCTCTAGCAGCCATTGTATTCATTTTGTAAAATCTCTAATTAACTAGCCGTGCTGTCTGGCTCCTCTCATTGTACTACCATTATGACCCTTATGGAGTACCTGCTTAGTCCCCTTCACCCGGCCCTTTCTCTCTCTCTCTCTCTCACTCTCACTCTCACTCTCACTCTCACTCACTCTCTCTCTCTCTCTCTCTCTCTCTCTCTCTCTCTCTCTCTCTCTCTCTCTCTCTCTCTCTCTCTCTCTCTCTCTCTCTCTCTCTCTCTTCCCCTTCATCATCACTACCCCTTACCCCCCTCCCCTCCGCGTAATCACTCACCCCCCTCCCCTACACTACACACTTCCCCCTCCTCCTGCCACTCACTTCATTAGTACCTCACACGACCAAAGTTAGCGGCCGACCACAACATCTGCTCCTGAAGTTCCGGTCGAGCCCCCTTCACCACCGCCCTCGACTCCTATCAGAGCTTCTGCTGCATTTTACTTCGGTATTGTTATGTAAATGGCGAGAAAATGGAAACAAGTGGCGAGGGGGGCGAGGGGGAGGAGGGACGTGTGAATAGAAGAATAATCGCCCAGTTTCCGCTTAAGAGCGCATGAAGGCAGTTTTGACTCTGCGGTATGCGCAGTCTTCACGGGGGGAAAACATGGAAGAAAAACAGATATTTACGCCTCGGAAGAAACACTTCGAACACTTGCAACAATCGTTCGCTGTACCAACCAGCGCAAGTAGGGGAATCTTAACCACACCATCAGCTGCCTGTGATGCTCTGTGTCTCACCATCAGCTGCCTGTGATGCTCTGTGTCTCACCATCAGCTGCCTGTGATGCTCTGTGTCTCACCATCAGCTGCCTGTGATGCTCTGTGTCTCACCATCAGCTGCCTGTGATGCTCTGTGTCTCACCATCAGCTGCCTGTGATGCTCTGTGTCTCACCATCAGCTGCCTGTGATGCTCTGTGTCTCACCATCAGCTGCCTGTGATGCTCTGTGTCTCACCATCAGCTGCCTGTGATGCTCTGTGTCTCACCATCAGCTGCCTGTGATGCTCTGTGTCTCACCATCAGCTGCCTGTGATGCTCTGTGTCTCACCATCAGCTGCCTGTGATGCTCTGTGTCTCACCATCAGCTGCCTGTGAATTTCTGTGTCTCACCATCAGCTGCCTGTGATGCTCTGTGTCTCACCATCAGCTGCCTGTGATGCTCTGTGTCTCACCATCAGCTGCCTGTGATGCTCTGTGTCTCACCATCAGCTGTCTCACCATCAGCTGCCTGTGATGCTCTGTGTCTCACCATCAGCTGCCTGTGATGCTCTGTGTCTCACCATCAGCTGCCTGTGATGCTCTGTGTCTCACCATCAGCTGCCTGTGATGCTCTGTGTCTCACCATCAGCTGCCTGTGATGCTCTGTGTCTCACCATCAGCTGCCTGTGATGCTCTGTGTCTCACCATCAGCTGCCTGTGATGCTCTGTGTCTCACCATCAGCTGCCTGTGATGCTCTGTGTCTCACCATCAGCTGCCTGTGATGCTCTGTGTCTCACCATCAGCTGCCTGTGATGCTCTGTGTCTCACCATCAGCTGCCTGTGATGCTCTGTGTCTCACCATCAGCTGCCTGTGATGCTCTGTGTCTCACCATCAGCTGCCTGTGATGCTCTGTGTCTCACCATCAGCTGCCTGTGATGCTCTGTGTCTCACCATCAGCTGCCTGTGATGCTCTGTGTCTCACCATCAGCTGCCTGTGATGCTCTGTGTCTCACCATCAGCTGCCTGTGATGCTCTGTGTCTCACCATCAGCTGCCTGTGATGCTCTGTGTCTCACCATCAGCTGCCTGTGATGCTCTGTGTCTCACCATCAGCTGCCTGTGATGCTCTGTGTCTCACCATCAGCTGCCTGTGATGCTCTGTGTCTCACCATCAGCTGCCTGTGATGCTCTGTGTCTCACCATCAGCTGCCTGTGATGCTCTGTGTCTCACCATCAGCTGCCTGTGATGCTCTGTGTCTCACCATCAGCTGCCTGTGATGCTCTGTGTCTCACCATCAGCTGCCTGTGATGCTCTGTGTCTCACCATCAGCTGCCTGTGATGCTCTGTGTCTCACCATCAGCTGCCTGTGATGCTCTGTGTCTCACCATCAGCTGCCTGTGATGCTCTGTGTCTCACCATCAGCTGCCTGTGATGCTCTGTGTCTCACCATCAGCTGCCTGTGATGCTCTGTGTCTCACCATCAGCTGCCTGTGATGCTCTGTGTCTCACCATCAGCTGCCTGTGATGCTCTGTGTCTCACCATCAGCTGCCTGTGATGCTCTGTGTCTCACCATCAGCTGCCTGTGATGCTCTGTGTCTCACCATCAGCTGCCTGTGATGCTCTGTGTCTCACCATCAGCTGCCTGTGATGCTCTGTGTCTCACCATCAGCTGCCTGTGATGATATGGAGTAACAAAGTCAGCAGTAATAAAGCCATCAGTAACAAAGCCAGCAGTAATAAAGCCATCAGTAACAACGCCAGCAGTAATAAAGCCAGCAGTAACAACGCCAGCAGTAATAAAGCCATCAGTAACAAAGCCAGTAGTAACAAAGCCTGCAGTAATAAAGCCAGCAGTAACAAAGCCAGCAGTAATAAAGCCATCAGTAACAACGCCAGCAGTAATAAAGCCAGCAGTAACAAAGCCAGCAGTAATAACGCCAGCAGTAACAAAGCCAGCAGTAATAAAGCCATCAGTAACAACACCAGCAGTAATAAAGCCAGCAGTAACAAATACAGCAGTAACAAAGCCAGCAGTAATAAAGTCAGCAGTAACAAAGCCAGCAGTAATAAAGCCAGCAGTAACAACGCCAGCAGTAATAAAGCCAGCAGTAACAAAGCCAGCAGTAACAAAGCCCGCAGTAATAAAGCCAGCAGTAACAAAGCCAGCAGTAACAAAGCCAGCAGTAACAAAGCCAGCAGTAACAAAGCCAGCAGTAACAAAGCCATCAGTAACAACGCCATCGGTAACAAAGCCAGCAGTAATAAAGTCATCAGTAACAACGCCATCAGTAACAAAGCCAGCAGTAACAAAGCCCGCAGTAACAAAGCCAGCAGTAACAAAGCCAGCAGTAACAAATACAGCAGTAATAAAGTCAGCAGTAACAACGCCATCAGTAACAAAGCCAGCAGTAACAAAGCCCGCAGTAACAAAGCCAGCAGTAACAAAGCCAGCAGTAACAAATACAGCAGTAATAAAGTCAGCAGTAACAAATACAGCAGTAACAAAGCCAGCAGTAACAACGCCATCAGTAACAAAGCCCGCAGTAACAAAGCCCGCAGTAACAAAGCCAGCAGTAACAACGCCATCAGTAACAAAGCCAGCAGTAACAAATACAGCAGTAATAAAGTCAGCAGTAACAAAGCCATCAGTAACAAAGCCAGCAATAACAAAGCCAGCAGTAACAAAGCCAGCAGTAACAAATACAGCAGTAATAAAGTCAGCAATAACAAAGCCATCAGTAAGAAAGCCAGCAGTAGCGCCTGGTGAAGCTGGCCTGGAGAGCAAGCTAAGCCGAGGCTTTACTCACCAGGTAAGGACACCAGAAAATAAATATAATTATAAGGCGAGAAAATACCGGAAGACCGAGATTACCTCAAGATCCAGAGGGGATTAGACGAAGAGCCAGATTATAGCCTAGCTGCAGGGGGCTATTAGGCTAGAACTGAAGGGCTATTATGTTGGAACTGGAGGGTTATTAGGCTGGAATTGGAAGACTATTAGGCTGGTGCTGAAAGGGCTATTACGGTGAAATTGAACGGCTGTTAGGTTAAAACTGGAAGGGTATTAGAGAGATGGTTCAGGGCAATTAGTCAAGAAATGGGGAGCTAATAGTCTGGATAGAAAGGCTATTAGGCTGGAATTGGAAGGCTATTAGGGGCTGATTAAGATGGATGGTTATCTGGATAACGACCAGGATTTCTACGATCCAGGAGCATCCTGAGGTTATCTTGAGATGATTTCGGGGCTTTTAGTGTCCCCGCGGCCCGGTCCTCGACCAGGCCCCTCCACCCCCAGGAAGCAGCCCGTGACAGCTGACTAACACCCAGGTACCTATTTTACTGCTAGGTAACAGGGGGCATAGGGTGAAAGAAACTCTGCCCATTGTTTCTCGCCAGCGCCTGGGATCGAACCCAGGACCACAGGATCACAAGTCCCGCATGCTCGGGAAGCATAACAGCATATCCAGGGAAGATATGCTCAGGTACACGTAGACTCTTTCATGTACCTTACCAAACAAATAAAAAAAAAAATACCTATTATCTCCCCCTCATACTTTGCCTCAGTCAGTTTCTGGAAGACGTCTTAAAAGAGCCTGTTGGCTTCTGACTTAGAACACAACGTGTCACAGTTTTACTTAAGGAGTCAGCAGCGTTTAAGTACCTTCAAGATGCCTTTCCTGAGCTGAGGCATAAGGTCAAAGGTCAGAGGTCATTTTCTCTCCTTTGGAGGTATAAGCAATCACAAAGTAACACTTTCTACCAAGGAATATAAATTGTGTTACAATGTGTATATTTCTAAAACACTCTGGGTAAGTTGCATGTCAAGTGAGAATTATAGTAATCAAATATATACAGAATTCACACACTAATATACACACGTTGAAACTGTGAAAAAGTTGTAGGAAAGTTCGGGTTATCGATCATGAATAACTTTCCTCCAGTCTGTAATTAATTACAAACTTTTATAATCACCATCATAGACATAATTATTAGACAAATAATTCATCTGAGTTCCAAACAGCTGCAATGACTTGAAACCTATTAAACAAAGCAAAAACTGATAAAATACAATTATCGAGGGACACACATGCTCACATTATGAAGCACTCGAGTTGGGGTAGAGTTCAGTTAGCCAAATGAACAGGACAAAGCGATAACAATTTACGACTATACACCACGTGAAAGGGGCAGGAGGACAAGGAGCTGGGATATGAGGACAAGGAGCTTGGGATACGAGGACAAGGAACTGGGATATGAGGACAAGGAGTTGGGATATGAGGACAAGGAGCTGGGATATGAGGACAAGGAACTGGGATATGAGGACAAGGAACTGGGATATAAGGACAAGGAACTGGGATATGAGGACAAGGAACTGGGATATAAGGACAAGGAACTGGGATATGAGGACAAGGAGCTGGGATACGAGGACAAGGAACTGGGATATAAGGACAAGGAACTGGGATATGAGAACAATGAACTGGGATACGAGGACAAGGAACTGGGATATGAGAACAAGGAACTGGGATATGAGGACAAGGAACTAGGATATGAGGACAAGGAACTGGGATATGAAGACAAGGAACTGGGATACGAGGACAAGGAACTGGGATACGAGGACAAGGAACTGGGATATGAGAACAAGGAGCTGGGATACGAGGACAAGGAACTGGGATATGAAGACAAGGAACTGGGATACGAGGACAAGGAACTGGGATACGAGGACAAGGAACTGGGATATGAGAACAAGGAGCTGGGATACGAGGACAAGGAACTGGGATATGAGGACAAGGAACTGGGATACGAGAACAAGGAACTGGGATACGAGAACAAGGAACTGGGA